CCGAGAACCTTGAGATCATAACCTGAGCTGAAACGAAGAGTCAGATGCCTAACCAACTGAGCCACCCAGGTGCCCCTTTTGAACATCTTCACTGTCATTTTCTTTTTCCATTTCCTTAACTTTTGCTCGACTTTGAGTACTGTGTCCGTCCGTTCCGGCTGCCATGGGAAATGGCCACAAGCTGGGGAGCTGACATCGCCAGAAATGTATTTCCGCGACTGTGGGGCCGGGAAGTCCAGGGTCAAGGTGCTGGCACGGTGGCACTCTAGTGAAGGTCCACTGCCTGCTTGGTAGCCAGGTGTTCTCGCTCTGTCCTCAAGGGTGGGAGGGTGTGGGCTCTGTCTGGAGCCTCTTGTATGAAGCCTCTAAGCCCATTCTGGATGGTGCCACCTTCATGACTGAGGAGCCTCCTCCCAAAGACTCTAATACCACCTAACACCATCATCTTTGGGGCGTTGGATTTCAACTTGTGAGTTGTGTAGGGACACAAGCATTCAGAGCACAGCATCAGTCTGGTTCTACTTCCCTGGAATTTATTGTAGTCTTTTTGCAACTTCCTACACTCACAGACCTCATTAATTTTCAGGCATTTTTCTTTTCAAATAGAGGCATTTGAAGGTCTAGGTTTTCTCTGTATTCCCAATGAAGTGTGTCCCACAGATTTTCTCCTGAGATGTTTTTCTAGAGTTCAATAGAAAGTATTTATTTAGAAACATGTAAAATTTTAGAGTGGCTTTCCTTGTTCTTAAGAAGTAGTAATTTAATTGCATTCTCTTTAGAGAACATAGCCTGCGTGAAACTAAGGATTTGGGTTTTATGGACTCTGTTGGCAATTTTGCTTGCTTGAGAGAAATGATATTCTGATTATTGAATACAGGCTTCCATGTGAGGCCATGATCAAGACTCACAGTATGTTTCAATCTATACATTTGCTGTGTGAGGCCTGAGCTGAGCAAATCGGCACATTCTGATCGAGGCCCCTTCCAGAGAAATAAACGGTGCGGGTGGACTTGGGCACGAAAGGATTCCATCAGGCAACGCCTAGCACCCCTCCTGGGAACGCCAGGCAAGATGCCACCCCGTTGTCCCAGAACACGGGACTTAAGTAGCATGTAACTGCGGAGCCCTGGCAGCCACCTTGCGATCATGAGGAGGAGCCAGAACTGGGATGAACGTGGCTTCCAGAAAGCAGAGGAGAACCTGGGGAAGAGGCCAGGCCCTTGGTCATATGATTAATATAGGGTTTGGCATTGGCGTGATGCGAATCGGCATGTAGCCGTTGGCTTCTTGTCTCCTGTTAGCCAAAACGGGGGGAGTCTCGTGCTCCTGTGCTTGAACACCACCTTTGCCAAACAGTGTCCACAATGGCAAGTCAAAAGGAAAGCACAAAGTACATGTGGAAACCGCCCGAAATTGTACCACTTGGTAACAAGCACTTTTCACGTCCAGCATTACAGAAGCTGGAGCCCTCTCATCAAAGGCGACGCTCTTGCTGCAGTTTGTGCTTAGTGTGAAGAAATTCTGTTTGCTGCATTCCCCCAGGGGGTCCCCCTCTGCTCTGACAAGTCAGACACTGCAGGACCGCCCCGCGAGGCAGAAGGGCTCCTTTCTGCACTCCTGCGGGCAGACACCGTGGAGGATGCCAGGCGGGAACCCTGAGAAACTCGAGGGGGGCCGCCTGGGGTGGGTCAGCTGTGGGGACTCACTGGGCTGACGTGCTGCTCAAGCCTCACGTGGTCACGTTAGTGCAGGCCTGAACTTCAACGTTTCAGGTTCAAATGCAATTACAGCTCAGTATTTAAATTGAAATCTGTACAGTGAAATACTTGTTTCACATGTAGAATTTAGTGATCCATCACTTACATAGAACACCCGGTGCTCATCACAACAGGTGCCCTTCTCAATCCCAATCTCCCATCTAACCCATCTCTCTGCCCGCCTCCCCTCCAGCAACCATGAGTTTGTTCACTATGGTTAGGGTCTTTTTCTGGTTTGCCCCCATTCCCCATGTTCTTCTGATTTGTTTCTTAAATTCCACACATGAGTGAAATTGCCTGCTATCTGTCTGTCTCTAACAAACTTATTTCCCATAGAATAATACACTCTAGTCCATCCAGGTCACTGCGAATGGCAAGAGTTCCTTCTTTTTGATGGCTGAGGAATATTTCATTGTACGTATATCCCACCTCTTCTTTATGTACCCATCAGTGCATGGACATTCGGATCTTCCCGTAATTTGGCTGTTGTTGATAATTCTGCTATAGGTTTTGGGGTGCCTGTGGCCCTTGGAATCAGTAGTTTTGTATCCTTTGGGTAAATCCCTAGCACTGCAATTGCTGGCTGGTAGGGAAGTTCTATTTTTACCTTTTTGAGACACCTCCATACTGTTTGGAATGGTTGTATTTTGGTCATTAAAGGACGGTGTTTCTTGATGCTTCTCAGGAAATAATGGCCAGTAAACAAGAGGTGTTTCCTGCCACTCCCAAGAAGAAAATGAAACGTCGTGAAGTACCCATTAGTCCTCCTCTGTGTAAGAGAAGGCTGACCTTGACGATGCTGCCAGTGATACTAGAAGAAGAGGGAATATCCCCAGCCGGGGACACAGCTGTGACCTTGGAAGGTGGTGAGGATGCCTGTCCCCACTTCCCTTCCTCCCTTGCGCCATTACCACCTAGCCCCCTGGCTGCTCTCCGCCACTGGAGCAGTTCCCCTGAAGGGCACCATCTTTGGGTGACGCTGCCCTTATTTTCTCAGCCACACTGGGTACAGGTGTTCACTCCGTCATGGAAACCTTCCCGGATTCCCAAACTCCGCACTCTACTGGTTTCCTTCTCCTTACTGAATATTCCTTTGCTTTCATTCTTAGCTCTGCCTTCTGTGTCTCCTCTTAATACACTACTCCTTCCTGGGTCCCACCATCGGGATGTCCCTCATGCCGCACACCTCCTCACTCAGCAGGCCGCTCGCTGCACTAGCTTCTGAGCTCACAGCCTGCCCTCCCACGTGACGCTCCTGACCCATCACCGCCCCGCAGCCAGAGTGACCCTGTGCGCACGGAAATCCCTTCATGCCACGTCCACCCTGAAGCCCGCCATCCACTCCCCCGAGCGCTCAGAACAGAATCGGAGCTCCCGACGCTGGTCTACGCGCTCCGCAGGACCCGGTCCTGCCATCCTCTCCTGCGCGTGTCCTCTGGGGGGGGGGGTCCTCCTTGCTCTCTCTGCCTCTGTCCTTTCTCCATGGCCCCGGCTCGTCCCCTCCTAGGGGCCCTGCACTGGCCCTCACGGCAGCCGGAAGTCCTCCTCCTCACGTGCACACGGTCCCCCAAATCCTGCTCCAGGGATCACCTCCTGAGGGTCCCTTCCCGACTCCTCCTGCTGTCTGCCACCACCCTGATATCGTGCTTCCTAGCGCAAGTTCAAATGTATTGTCCCCTTTGCCTGTTTAACATGTACCACCCAGCTTTCCCTGGAGGCTATTCATTCCACGAGGACAGGAATCCTTCCTGCTGTGTTCACTCCTGATCGCTAGGTTGGCATGGTGCCTGGCACAGCGGAGCATGAGGGAATGAAGTAGAGGGGTCAGACGTGGAGGACAGAAACACTCATGTCAGAGACAGAAAAGACTGATGAGCAGGCCCGGTACTGACTGGGAGTGGTAGAGGTGCGGTGCCGGTGTCAGGCCCGCTGCCGCGAGTGACGCATTCAGCCTTTCAGCTTGCAGAGGGCGTCAAGGAGACATGAAATGATGAGCGCCAGGGCTCTGTGAATGTTTGGTCAATTCATTATTAAACAAACCGTCCAGGTGTGTTTCTGTATGTATGCATCGTGCCAAGATTATAGGAGGCTTCTCTGTAGTGTTAGTTTTCCCGAGGTCAAGTTCTCAGGTCCCATTCATGTATCAGGTGCATCCTTCTGATAGGTCATAAAAACGATAGAGACTGCGGAGCACGTGCATGTCCGTGCGGAGTTGTGGACCTGCCTGTCATCGCAGCCCCACATTACATTTGGTTTCCAGATGCACCTGTCGCTCACAGTATCCACGGGGAGGTGAGGGAAAGTGGCCGATCCACACTGAGGGCTTCTGGTCAAAATCCGTCCCCCCAGAGCCTGTGACTGTGGCAGGAGATGGTACTCCACACCAACCAATTGGATTCTTTGTCTCATGACATAACCAGTCTCAGCAAAGGTGGGCGGAGTCACAAACCTGGTAGGAATGCGTTGGTGGCAGGAGTCATTACCAGCTCTGTCTCTACAGATAACCCCAAGGACACAGCGATGTCTGTGCTGGGAGAAGTGCCAGATAACCGGCCCATACCGATGGAAATCAATATCGAAATAAGAGATCAGTTAAAGAGGGAGATTCGACAGTTTGGACAAAGTAAGTAGAACGAGAATTTCTATCCATGAAACAAACCACCCTAAGTCTTTCTCATTCTATGATTTGAACAATATTCCACAGTCCCCTTGAGGCTCATCCTTTGCCAGAATTGGGTTTTCCCTGTTGGAATTGTTCCTCTTTATTTTTACTGAAATATCCCAGGACACCTTTTTTGGGGGGCAGGGGTGTTCTTTTGTATTTCTCCACTGGTTGTTGGGTGTCCACCTTCCACTGGTAGATGTCTGGGTGTCTGGATATGAGCATGTAAGGCACATGTCCTCTGTCACATTGTAGGGCTGAATGATTGCTGAGGCATCAGATACACCAAGATTGACTTATATCCTCCTTATACTTCAGAAATACTAATATTTTTTTAATATCTCCAGAATATGATAGAGTCTACAAATTGCTTGAAGGAGTGCAAGGGCCTCCAGAAGTGCAGAAAAGAATGATTTTATATGCCATGAATGAAGCAGCAAGGTGAGTGTGAGGAACTCCTTAGTACATTTCACAGTAGGGCCCAGTGCTGTGTTGGGTGACGGGTGGGGACGGGACTGCCTGGTGTTTCTCAAACCCTGGTCCTCAGTCAGAATTCATGCTGTCTCTGCACTTTTTTAGATTGATATTATTTGAGTCTCCCTCATTCTTCCAAGCTCAGGAAAACTTGTATTCACACCACAGTTTGAGTTGGACTTGACCCTGAACTGACACTCTTTGTATTTGCTGGATTTTTCATTACCATGTGGGTCCATTTTCTATTCCCATGTAGATTAGAAGCTTCTCTTTCTATCGCCCCAGAGCCTCCCAAATTATGGGTTCTTGGATATATTTGGTTAATGTCTTGTTTCTTTAATTTCAGATTTAAAAGACAAGAATTAATATGCCATCTCAAGAACAAGCTAGAAAAACTAGAATCTGGCCATCTTCTCGAAGAAGATAATCCCACTCCAAATTCATAATCCCACTGTTGAAATGATCAATGAGAAACCAGAACCAGTTGGCTTCTCTAGAATGAAATTGATATTATTGATGCCTCCTGCACATGTTATTTAAAATTGTCTTCAGGAGGCTAAGAAAAAGCGTTGGAACTTTAATGTAACAAGTTTCTGTTATTAAAAGCTGGGCAGTTGCCCTAAGTATTTCACTTGAATAGACATGTGTGTGTGTGTGTGTGTGTGTGTGTCTGTCTGTCTGTCCCCTCTGAAGTGAGGAACCCCCTTAAGGCATCCTAGTTCCTCACCCAGTCCCAGGCCTGTAGCCTGCATTCATAACTGTCTTCTCTGCTAGCCATTTCTTCTTTGTTTTGTCTGAGGCAGCCCCTCACTTGGTCATCCGGCTTGGCCTGAGGGAAGGATTCACACCTTAATTATAGACAGACCTGATCAGTAGATGTCGTCCCTGAACTGAATTGTTATAGTTTTCCTTTGTCTTGAATCACAACATGAGAGTGTTGAGAGAAACCCAAACATTGTGGACATCTCCCTTCTCAGTGTCTCATGCAGTTGCAAGCCAGTGTCCTTAACGCTCGGGTTCCATCTCCCCACACTGTGCAGGCGCCCCATGTTTGCCTGACAGTTGAGAGAGACGAGCAATCCAGCCTGATCCCTTGGCAGTGTCACTGTCATTAGATGGCTGACACTCAGTGAGTTACCCATCTTGAAGTTCTCTCTGCCCCAGAGCTTGTAGTCTCTCCTGAGTAATGAATCATAAGTGTTTCATATAGGCAGTTCTACCCGTGGGTAGCACCGTTTTGAGCACCTAAAACGTGCCACAGTGGACTTTGGCTTCTTACTGTTCTACTCACCTCAACCCCACAGCTACCTTATGAGGCAAGGGTTACGTTTCCACTCAATGACCAAATAACCTGAGCCTCTTGAATCATGTAGTTGCCCATGTTGAAACAATGGGCATGAGTCCATGCCTTTAAGTTTCTTGCACTGAAATTCAACATTCGGGAGGTACCTCCTCCCAACACCAAGCAGTTCTCATATACCAGGAGGATGTTTGAGAAGTCAACTCCATTCTGATGCTATCCACCCAGAGCTACATCAGATTCCACAGTTTAAGGGTTCGGTCCTTGAAGATTGTCCCTGCCCTCCATCTCAGACACTAATTGTACACCCCAGGCTCTTCCCTGTGCTTCCAACTGACTGGCTGTGGATTGGGACTGGAGATTCCAATGGCCTCCTTAGGTTTTATTAATTTGCTACAACAGGTCACAGAACTCAGGGACACCCTTAACATACCACTAAAGCATATGATAAAGGGTACAAATTAATAGCCAGATGAAGAAATGCATAGGGGGAGGCCTGGGGAAAGGTTGGCGCTTCCATGCTCTCTCCAGAGTGCCACTACCTTCAGTCTCCCCTCGTTCGCCCACCTAGAAACCTTTTGGTTTCTTATGGAGGCCTCATTGACTGAGTCGCTGACCATTGCCTGATTCAAGCCCTGACTCTTCTCCCTTCCCCGGATGTCAGGGGTCGGGTTGAAAGTTTTAACTCTTTAATTAAATGTTGGTCCTCTTGGCAACCAGTCCCTGCCTTTGGGTACACGTCCAAAGCCACCTTAATTAATAACAAATTCCCATTTCTCATTTATGCCTCTGAAGTGTTCTTAGGAACTGTGGATAAGGACCAAATATATCTGGGAAATATGTTTCCTTATCTGAATGAGAAAATATATATTTATTATAAATTATTACATAGCACCACCAGTCCCTCGCTTCATTTCCCATGATCTTAAGAACTGTGAAGGGGCGCCTGGGTAGCTCAGTAGGTTAAGTGTCCAGCTTCAGCTCAGGTCATGATCTCACAGTTTGTGAGCTTGAGCCCTGCATGGGGCTCTGTGCAGACAGCTCAGACCTGGAGCCTGCTTCAGATTCTGTGTCTCCTTCGTTCTCTGCCCCTCCCCCACTCATGTTCTGTATCTTTCTCTCTCAAAAATAACTAAATATTAAAAAGAACTGTGTTTGGGCACCTGGGTGGCTAAGTCAGTTAAGCATCCAACTCTTGGTTATGGCTTAGGTCATGATCTCAAGGTTCGTGGGTTCGAGCACTGAGTCTGGCTCTGCACTGTCAGTGCAGAGCCTGCTTGGGATTCTCTTTTTTCCCCCCTCTCTCTCTGCCTCTCCTTTACTCATGTGCTCTCTCTCTCTCTCTCCTCCCTTTACTCAAATTTAAAAAAAAATGTTAAGAAAAAGAACTGTGCCACACTCTGCCTGTGCTTCAAAAAAGGGAAACTGGATTCCTTACCTAATCGAGACCTACACACTAAAAAGTGCAAGGACACTTTGCCTTGCCAGGTGAAGAAGGACCCCGTTTCATCTCCAAGTACAGCATGGGGCCTCCCCGGTTCGAGAGACCAGCACAAAAGGCCGAGTGCTCCTGGGCAGACACTTGGAGTCTGCAACACGGAGCGGGTCAAGGAATAAGGATGGCTTAACTTCCGCAGGCCTGTGCCTAGAACAGCAGTCTCTTCAAGGGGAACCGACTCGGAAATCCAGTTCCCATTAACAGCGGAGAGTCTGCTGAAAGCTAGAGCCGACATCTCACTTGGGACAGTGTTCCTGCCCACCCCCACCCCCACCGAGCATGTTGACCTGTGGCCTAGCTCTCTGCACGGTGAGAGTGTCTGCCTTGTGTTTTGGGCTCCTCAGAGTGTGTCTCCATGTAGTGGTCACACGGCACTAAGGAGCCCAGCTGCCCCTCCTCATCTCCCTCCTCATGAACCCACAAATTTCTGGGTGTCGCTGTGTCCAGGCACTGAACGCCCTAGGAATAGCCGACTTCCTCCACTCCTCCTTAGGTTCCATGGAATAGAGACTTCACCCCTATTGTTGTGAGGAAATTCAGGCAAAGGCAGGTGAGGGGACAGGGAAGGCAACACTCTCAGTGGCAAAGCCAAGTCTTACTGATGGGGAACAGACAACCAACAGGGACACTGGAGCCACAAAATGGTTTTAGGAGCCTTGATGAAGGGGGTGAAATTCACCTAATTTTTATGCTAATCTCTTCACCTTGATTCTATGCTCCAAACAACTTTTACATAAAAAATAGATTTTTCAAGCACCTGGGTGGCTCAGTTGGTTAAGCATCTGACTTCAGCTCAGGTCATGGTCTCGTGGTTGCTGGGTTCAAGCCACGCATTGGGCTGTTTTCTGTCAGCACAGATCCCGCTTCAGATCTTCTGTCCCCCTCTCCCTCTGCCCCTCCTCCCCTCTCAAAAATATACATTAAAAATAGATTTTCTCCAAAGGTGAGAAAGTCAGATGCCCCCATAGCTGTGCCCACGGATATGTAGCAGGTTCCTGTTTATACCTGATGTTTTGCCTCAAGCTGTATTTCACCAACGTTTATGCAATTTATGCAATGTTTTCATTTCTGAATCAGAATTAAGTAGTTTCTGAAATAGTTGTATACCATGTATACACTGGTCTTTCTACCTGCGACCGTTGCGTGTGCTATGCGTGCTTGGGAGATAGATTATGAAAAGCGAATCCCAAGGAAATGCAAAATGTATAGGATGTGCATTTCCTTCTACCAATGTCTGTTGTGCTGTTTTGAGTCCCTTTAAACACACCCTTCAAACCAGCCCCTGGCAACCACATTTCCACTTTCTGTTTTTATAAACCTGACCACTCTAGTAACCTCTGGAGCTGTAACATGTGTCAGAATTTCATCTTTTCTTGTGGCTGAATCATATGCCATTGTATGTGTACACCACATCGTGTTTATCCAGCTCATCCATCAATGGGCACTTGGGTTTCCTCTGTATTTTGGCTCTTTTGAATAAGGCTGCTATGAACATGGGTGTGCAAATCTCTCTTTGAATGCTGATTTCAATTCTTTTAGATATATATCCAGAAGGGGAATTGCTGGATCATCTAGCAATTTTAATTTTTAATTGTTGGAGGAACTGGCATACTGTTTCCCATAGCAGCCGCACCACTCTACCATCACACTGACAGTGCATCTCCAACAATACTTGTTTGTTTCTGGTTCATTTTTTATAGCAGCCATCCTAATGGGTATGAGGTGATATCTCAGTGTCATTTTAATTTGCATTTCCCTAATTATTGGTGACATTGAACATCTCATATGCTCCGTGGCCTTTTGTATATCATGGGAGATTGTTGAATGGGTATAGAGCTTTAGTTTTGCAGGATGAAGAAGCTCTGAAGATTGTTTGCACAGCAATGTGAATATACATAGCACTACTGAACGGTACAGTTAGAAATAGTTAAGGGGTGCCCTGGTGGCTTATTCGGTTAAGTGGCCAACTTCGGCTCAGGTCATGATCTCACAGTTAATGAGTCCGAGCCCTATGTCGGACTCTGTGCTGACAGCTGAGACCCTGGAGCCTGCTTCAGATTCTGTGTCTCCCTCTCTCCCTGGCCCTCCCCTGCCCGTGCTCTGTCTCTTTCTCTCTCAAAAATAAACATTAAACAAATGCTTTAAAAAGAAATAGTTAAGATGGTCCATTTTATGTTATCTATTTTTTTTTACCACAATTTTAAAAAAATGACAGGTCTGAATTGCACCCCAGAGATTGGTGTGTAGCCTAGTATTTGGACTGCTCCCCATGTAATTCTTTTTTGTTTTTTGTTTTTTGTAATGTTTGTCTGTTTGTTTGTTTTGAGAAAAAGAGAAAGCAGGGGAGGGGCAGAGAAAGGGACAGAGAAAATTCCAAGCAGACTCCACATGGAGCATGATACGGGGCTCGATCCCACAAACTGTGAGATCATAACCTGAGCTGAAATCAAGAGTCAGAAGCTTAACCGACTGAGCCACCCAGGTGCCCCTGCTCCCCAGGTGATTCTAACACGCAGTGAAGGTTTATGACCATGCTTCTCAGACACCCGTGTCTGAGAATCCCATGGAGGGCTTGTTGGGGCCCAGATTCCCGGGTCACACCCACAGACATTATATTCTGGCTGTCTGAGGGCTGTGCTTCAGAATTTGTATTCCTGGTGGGTTTCCAGATGATTCTGATGCTGCTGGTATGAGGAGTATGTCTTGACTGTCAATGTTTTATTGACTAGGGGTCATGAAAGAGGGGCCCAATTTCTGTTTCAACAATGTACTCCCCACCCCCCACCCCCAGTAACTCTGATGCACTCTGAAGTTGGAGAATAGTCGGTAGAGATTGAGA